CATCCCTCTTCTTAATGGAGTCAGAGGGAATTGCCTCAAGCAGAGTCCCCTTTTCCCACTTATTCTTGTGGAAGATATCCTGGATCCAACCCTTTCCTGCAAGTCAGGTTTTCTTCTGAATGTTTGACTAGATACGCCAATCTTGCAAGTTCCTGGGTTTGCTCTTACTACTGAACTGAGAATATGTTTATTGTCACTGTTCATTCTAAAAGTATTAATGTGTTTATTTTATATGTATTTTTGGTCACCATAAATCAGTGAAGCCTTATTCTCCAGTGGATCTCGCAGTGAAATGTGATGATTTTGCTGCAACAAATTGCACCATTTTGTGGCAAGATCAACAAGAGGCACAACACTTCAGATTAAGATACCAAGCAATTCACAGTAATTTCTGGATTGTGGTAATATTTTCTGAATGTTCTATTTTTAACGTAGTACTCAGATGTGATACCTTGGTTATTTTCACAAATAATTTCAAATGTTCTTTTCATACTTATTGTAAACGAAGTGGAAAAAGTGCAGAGGAAGGCAACAAGCAGTTCCAGGAAAGGTTACAACCACTGAGCTTGTTTTGTTTAGAAAAAAGATGAGTAAAAAAGATGAGTCAAGGTCAGCGCTAGGTCAGGACCTTTTAATTTGATCAATATTTTAATGTTAATCAATTTTAATTGTATATTTATTTATTTAATTTATTTTAATCATGTCATTTTTATACTTAGTTTGTGGTATAGTCAGATTATTTTGTTTAAGATTCATAATATACTGTAAGCCATCCAGAGATGACAGTGATGAACGGCCTATAAATCGCCTAAAATACATACATACCAAGGCAATTAAAATATTATGTATATTCTAGAGGTAGCCAGAGAGGGGAGTGGGGGAGAGAGAGAGAATTTAAGAGATGGAGATGATAGAGACAAAGACAGAGATAGAGAAACATTTATAGATCCCTAAAGTATTTCCTAGGATAACATGCTAGCAGATAATCCTGCATATGCCAGTCCAAACATTACAGGTGAGAAATTTATGTGAGCCATCTCGAGGCTATAAGTGATGGGAAGGCATACAAAAATTCTAAATAAATAAACAACATTTTAAATTCTGCAGTCATTCCAACTTCAGGTCAAGAATATGTGCACATCTGTATAGATTCAGAAACATATCAGCACTGTTAGAAGCAGGAGTCACAGATAATACCTGGGCTCCAGGTACCTATGTGCTTAATCACCATTTTGTTGAATGCGTAATTCTTTTACCCAGAGAGTTCCTGGCAGCAAAAGTAAAATATAAGATTCTTCAGCTGCCAGTGAAAGAAATATTCCAATATGTTTTCCATTGGGGATGCAGGTGGCGCAGTGGTTCAAACTGTTGTGCTGCTGGGCTGGTTGATCGAAAGGTCGCCAGTTCGAATGTGCGCAATGGGGTGAGTTCCCGTTGCTCCATCCCAGCTCCTGCCAACCTTGCAGTTCGAAAGCATGCAAATGCAAGTAGATGAATATGTACCACTTCGGTGGGCAGGTAAAAGCGTTCCGTGCACCTCGGTGTTTAGTCATGCCAGCCACATGACCACAGAGACTGTCTGCAGAAAAATGCTGGCTCCCTCGGCCAGGAAATGGAGATGAGCACCGCCCCCTAGAGTCAGCCATGACGAATTCACATCAAGGGGAAACCTTTATGTTTTCCATTAATGAAAAGCTAGTGGCTTCGGCAATGTTAACACTGAGCAAGCCTTAATTTTAGCTACACATCTCTGAACAAAAAGAAGCAAAATGAGGGCTTGTGTTAGAAGAGAGATGCAACAGTTCCAACAAGGAATTGATAAGTTATCCTAGATACTTTCTTGGCCAGGGATTTACTTCAGAATGCAATCATCTCCCTTGCATCCAAGACACAAAGGACCTGCAGGATGGTTGGCAACTTTCTCTGAACTCATCTCTCTATATAGAGGAACTACAGCTAGTCGTGAGTACTAGCATTTGTTATTTTGCTTCTCTGTACCTTCATGGGGTTTTTTTCATTCAAGGTTGAAAATATAAATACTAGAAGATATTATTTTCATGGCCTGAAGCCAGATGCAGAATACAAATTCCAGGTTTCCTGCAGGTTCCTTCCCAACAGAGGCTTATGGAGTGACTGGAGTGTGGCATTTCACACAGAAGCTGGTGAGAAAATAAACACCGAGACTGAATCCTAGCATATATCTAGTATTTATTTTGTATGTGCATTAAATTTTTCTATGGATAATATTAATGCTTGCAGCCAGAAGGAAGCGATTTGTTCTGTCTTTCACAAAATGCATCTTTTGTTGCTCCAAACCTAAAGAAATATCCTAAAACATGCCTGATGCAAGTGTATGTCACAATGCTTCCCTGCTTACTATTGAGCATCATGCAGGATGTAAGAAATAATGTACAGCCCCATTAGGTCCAACTAAATGACATTCAGCAAGGAAACCAAAATTAGAGCTCGTGAGAATCCCCATGTAAAACCAGGGCTCTAATTGTGAGAATCCACATGTAAAACCAGGGCTCTAAAAGGCAGCCAGGGCTCCTCTTTTCAGAAGGGGCTCTAATCCACACAACAAAGGCTGCAGGCAGTTAACTAGCTCATAAGGAACAGTCTCTAATGTAGGGGCACAGAAGCCAAAGCTTAGGAAGCAAATCCTCCTGATATCTTCAGAAGGCCATGCCCTCTTCCCCTGGCCCCACCAAGGGTCTTCCTTTGGTAATTTCTCAGCATTTACACACCCCCTCCACTCCTGCAATTCTAAAAATAGCAAATGTGTCTCCTAAGGCTTTGTTACAAGATGTAAGTGCTAGAATGTGCTAATATTTTAGATCCTACCCTTTTGATTGGCTCCCAAAACTTTCTCCAAAATGCAAATCAACTCTCAGACTAAAAAACTGTATTTTGGAAAAAGCTTGGGTTGAAAGAAGCTCAACCTCACCCCACTTCCCTAATGTATATGCATGTAGGTATAACAGATTCTTGGATCATACCCAGTAAATAAGGGAAAGGAAACATTATTTGTTTCCAAATATACGTATGACCAATTTAGTATTCTTTTCTGATTTTAGATTTTTAATTCTGTTAATTTATTTACAGATTTTATTGTTGTTATTATGGTCCTTGTAGCAAATGTTGTATTGAGTTTGTACTATTTTATGTTGTTGGATTTTAATATGTTGTATGCCACCTAGAGAGCCTATGGCTAGGGGAGCAGCATACAAATTGCATAAATAGGTATAAATTGAATAAATAAATAACTCCAATTATGTGAAGTTAGATAATGATGATGCTTAGCTTTCAAAATTTAAAGGAATACCACAGCATTTCAAAATGGATTATGTTACGTTATTCGCAAAGTCGTGCCTGACCCATCACAGCCCCATGGACAACATTCCTCTAGACCTTTCTGCCCTCCACCATCCCCCGGAGTCCACTTAAGCTCACACCAACTGCTTCAGTGACTCCATCTAACCACCTCATCCTCTGCCGTCCCCTTCTTTTGCCATCAAGCATTCCCAGCATTAGGCTCTTCTCCAGTGAGTCTTTCCTTCTCATTAGGTGGCCAAAGTATTTGAGTTTCATCTTCAGTATCTGGCCTTCTAAAGAGCAGTCAGGGTTGATCTCCTCTAAGACTGACTGATATGATCTCCTTGCAGTCCAAGGGACTCGCAGAAGTCTCCTCCAGCACCACAATTCAGAGGCCTCAATTGTTCGGCACTCAGCCTTCCTTATGGTCCAGCTTTCACAGTCATACATTACAACTGGGAAAACCATAGCCTTGACTATACACACTTTTGTTGGCAGGGTGATTTCTCTGCTTTTTAGTATGCTGTCTAGATTTGCCACAGCTTTCCTCCCCAGGAGCAATCGTCTTTAAATTTCTTGGCTGCCATCCCCATCTGCGGTGATCTTGGAGCCCAGGAAAATAAAATCTGTCACTACCTCCATTTCTTCCCCATCTATTTGCCAGGAAGTGATAGAACCGGATGCCATGATCTAAGTTTCCTTAATGTTGAGTTTCAAGCCAAATTTTGCGCTCTCCTCTTTTACACACATCAAGAGGCTCTAGTTCCTCTTCGCTTTCTGCCATTAGAGTGGTATCATCTGCATATCTGAGGTTGTTGATATTTCTCCCGGCAATCTTAATTCCAACTTGTGGTTCATCTAGCCCAGCCTTTCGCGTGATGTGCTCTGCAGGTAAGTTAAATAGGCAGGGTGACAATATACGGCCTTGCCATACTCCTTTCCCAATTTTGAACCAGTCAGTAGTTCCATGTCCAGTTCTCACTGTTGCTTCTTGAACTGCATACTTTCTACCTTTGGGGCATATAGTTAGATATTTTCACATAACTAAAGGAGAAACAAATGAACCTTCATGTTAGCTCTATGTGGCACTGTTTATTTGCTTCCGTGCCTGGGATAGCAAGATACTACGGCCTGGATCCAAAGAGCTACCCATATAATTGGCAGTGTTAAAGGACAGCCCAATAGGACTGGAACCTGGAATCTCTGGGAGGCCATCTGTCCTGCTGCCCATGGGATGTTGCCCTGAATTTGTTGCATCTGATCCCACTGGATTACACATGCACAGACACACTTACAGACTTTAGAACATGTGCAAATTACTAAATGCAAATTTATGTGGTTATTTGTTCTTTCTGTTGTTGGTGGTCCTGTGGGCCTCAGGCTGAAATCATTTCACTACTATGCTTGCTTCATTTGCTTCCTTCCTTTCTTTCGGAGGACCATCTAGGCAGCAGTCTCATTTGGCCAGGCTATAGTTCTGGGAAGAGGTTTTGATTAGCAGAGTGGGAGACATCGAGTGACTAATAGGACTCACTGCCTACCTCACTCCACAGCTGGAGATTTGCCACTCTACAAAACCTGATTCCTGACTGTGAGGGTATCCTGCATGCTGTCCAGAGTTGTACAGGTTTGCTTTCAAATTCATATGTTAACTGACAGAGTTTTCTTTTTTGCTTTTCACCTAGTGCCACTTGAACCCATTGATGTCTGGTATTCAAAGGAAGATGTGTCTTCACATATGCAGAACATCACCCTTTTCTGGAAGGTAAGAATTGATTTGAAGATCTTAGGGTATGGCTTTCTGAACCAAAATGCTAAGAGAAACAACCACTTTCTTATTCCTATCAAAAAGGAGAGAGAGGAACAAGAAACCACCTTAATCGGCAGAGATAGGAATAAACTTTTAATCCTAATTTTGGAGAATTCATGTTCTAGCCATAGGTACTGCTTTCATACAGAGATGAAAAGGGGCTTTATGGGAACTGAAAGGGAAAGTGTTTTAATGCCATTCCAGAAGGTTACAGTAGACACTCCTGGGAAAAATTTAGTGGGCTCATTATATCGGTCCTATCATATATATAGTTGTATGCTCTGTGAAATTTTCATCCATATTTGGACACAGCAGGCAGGGAGTGATTCTTGGTATAGATTTGTTCACACAGACAGATACTGACACACAACTACTGGGAAAAAGCCCAAGGGCATGTTTCAGTTTGACTTGTTCATCGTTATACATTTTGGTATTCTCAGTTCCCACCCAGTTTCTGGCTGAGATCTATGACTCCTTATAAGGCATCTGATAATGTGCTAAAGTAGTGTTTCCCAGGTGGTTCCCTGTCACCTCAGGTAAGGCTCTGCTCCTTGCTGATGATCATCAGCTCCAGTAGCTGATGATTCTTAGCAGTGTTGCTTGGTTGTTTGCTTTAGTGGTGGTTCCCACTTTTGGGGGTTGGAAAGTCAGAATAGTTGCCAATTCTCAACTGCAAGGAGGCAGAGGGCAGGGGCAGAGTGCATTGCAGGAGCCAGCTAGTTGGGGGAAGGAGACGCCTGATGGGCAAAGACCACCATGGCTGGCTGCAGAAGTGACCCATACAGACGGTAGAGGATAATTCAAGTTTTGGCATTAGGGACCTATATTTGTAAATTTTGCAGCACTGCATAGTGCAGAGCATTCATTCAGTGACAAAAAGATCCACCACAATAGAAGGATTAAGTGATCCTGTCAGAATTTGCCTAGTGACCAATGAGGACTTGCTACTTAATGTGAAGGAAGATGGGGAAAAGAGTACAAAAAAGGCATCCAGTCAAGTCTGTTGCACAGCACTATCACCTGACTAAGGGTGTTTGGGGGTGAAGGGTCGGGGGAGGGAAGAGATATCCCCCATGACCGTGGAAAGACCAAGCCATACTGGATAGGATACTTGGATATACAGTGGCACCTGCTTGAAAAACAGTGAAGGTACTCATTAGAGGAGGAAAAGGGTCATGGCGGGAAGCCAGGAAGGGGAGGAGGCTAGAGCCAATGGCCTACATTGCATCCAAGTAACACCCCAGTCTCCTTTCCTTCCCTTTCCTGGTGCTTCAGCCAGAGGAATGCAAGGTGTAGGTGACAAGGATGCTACCACCACATCTTGCTCTGGGCACTGGATGCTCGTAAGCTTCTGTGTTGAGAGGTGTATGAGCATTGAGCATGGAAGGCATTGGACTGCAGTATTATTGGTAGCATTATGTCCCATTTTGCATTAATACTGACTTTTCACATAGCTCGAAGTCATACAGATGATTCCTTCTCTATCCCATGTTACAACCATTCTGTAAGGTAGGATAGGTGAAGGAGAAGAGAGAGCTTCATGACAGAGGTTTTGAACCTGCAGTTTTCCAGTCTTAAACCAACAGGAAACTGAATGCTGTTTTTAAGCTGCTGATCAAATATAGGGGATGGGGCAGTGAAACAACATGCAAAGAAAAATATACCTATTGTTTCTTTATAGGCAATGAGTACATCAGAAAGAAGGAAAAGCTATAATTACAGTGTGATATTCCATGCCCTGAATCAGAAGCATCACAGACTAGTAGAAACAGATTTTACAACATATACAATTTTCTCACGAGTCACTCTTAAGACTGATTACAACATAACAGTTCATTCTTGTAATTCACGAGGAATATCCCCACCTATCTCCATCACCACTAAACTAGAAATTACAGGTAAGGTGCTTCTAGTGGGCATGTATTATAATGTGTTACTTTTACAGGTGGCAGAACTTGAATCACCTTATTTAGTTAATCATTCAGCTACAGGACTCAGCTGTAACAGTTCAACACTCTCCTAGCCAGGGTGATGGGGAAGGGGTCTCCCAGGCCACCTACTCTGACTCTCAACTCCAGCCATCTCCACTTATGCCATGCCTACAGTGTGCATGTCCACCCTCACCGATGGAGTTTCAACCACCTCCTGTGGAAACCCATTCCATACCATAGGGCTTCTAACTGTCAGGAAGTACTTCCTGGCATCCCAATTGAACCTTGTTTCCCTGAATCCCTGCTCAATTGGAACACATCTTGCCCTCCTCTGCAGGGGAAAACAGGTCTCTACCCACCTCCTTTCTGTAAATGCATTTGGTCTTGGCTAATACTGAGATTTTAGATTACCAGGGACTCTTCCATTGTTTCCTGCTGAAGAGACTAGGGAAGTATCTAAGCTGACATTTTTGTTGTTGTAACTTAGCAGTACCTTCAGATGAAGTTTGAGTATAGTGCTTGTTTTAGGTGCTGAATAAAATAATAAATGTATTGGCTGAGATCCAGGTTTCCCAGGAACAGAACTCTGCTCACATGTCATTCCTCCTGGAGGAAAGGGGAGGAAAGCTAGCTTCCCTAACACCTCTTCCTTTCTGTAGTGCTCTGAAACAGCATGGGAAATAGCATGTGAGTGGAGTTGCAGGGGGAAGGGGCAGTAAGTGGAAATGGCTCTCAGTGGATCTCAGTCCCTCCAATGGATCTCAGTCCCTACAGCAAACAATTCATGCATTTATTATTGCTGTCTTAACTATAATTCCTTTGGCATCAGTGACTTGCATTCCCCAATTATTAAACCCATCTTCAGTTGCTAACCATTCTGCCAGCTATGCTTGAATTTCCTCTTGAGTGATCTCTCGTTTTCTTAAGCTGACTGGGCTTGTTTTCCTTGTTTCAGCTAAGGGGTTAATGTATTTTTCCCTTCGCTTTTTCACCCTTCAAAGATCTGCCACCTCCTAGCCAGCTCTCTGCTGTATCAATGGGAAACAGCAGCATCACTGTGGCATGGAAAGCACCTCTTGCATCTTCCTCTTTTATCAATGGGTATGTAGTGGAATGGGAAGAATTCCATCAAAGGAACCACTCGAAAAGCCACCCAACCTGGACCAAAGTTCCTGCATTCAACTTTACAGTGATACTAGGTAAATGCACAGTGCAAGATAAAGGAAAGGCATCACCAGCTGTTTATTAGGGGAAGGACTGACCCTGTGCCCCTGGTCAAGGTTGAATATTATGGCTGTTTTGTTCACACATTGAATCCCACTTCTACTCTGTGCCATAGCTCATCCTGTCTTCTAATTTTTCCAAAGGCCTCACAATGATCTATTTTAGGCACAGCTGGCCACAATAATTGAAAGCAAATTTCTGTGGTCAGAAAATAAATGTGTCTCTGATCTGTTCTAGTGAGCTGAGTCCATTTGATAGACGGGCTTCGGCGAATGGCGCGGCATAGAAGCCTTCCAAATAAATAAATACCCAACACCTTATCACATTCAAATCCATTACTGATTCACAAAGCAATTTTAATGAAAGCCTTTTGCCAATAGTAAAATTTCCAAACTTAAACTATGGACTGAATCACAGAACCCAATATAATATAAGAGGCCATCCTAAGCAGCTGTTTCATGGCAGGGCCATTGCTTGCATGGGCTCTAGCACCTCTTCTGCATGCACTGATAGCACAACTCACCAGCTTTTGACACAGCTCATTACTGAAGTTTTGTTTTTCTAGAAAATGATGTCACACTTGCTACATATGCTGAAACATTCATAGAAGTCAGACTTCTGACAGCTGTCTCATTATCATGTGACTCAGTCCTTCAGCAGTGTAGATCTGAATACTTGCATATCAGAAAAGAACTCCCAGGAGCAAAGCTGAAAGCTCCATATATTGACTTAACATAACTAGAATGAAAAATCTCTGAACCTGTGTCTCAGGAGTTCAGTATGAAATTTAACAGCACAAAATTCTTCCTGCTTAGTGATGTTTTTAAAGCATTTCCCTACTAGTCCTCATGAGCATGGAAAAAGGCTTGAAATGCAGAACTGTCAAATCATGATTTTATATTTATAGTCAATCTATAGGATGGATCCAGATAAAGATGAACATATCAGGACTGTAATGAAAGCTTGTAGAAGTACACTGGCTCAGTGCTAATGCGAGCCTGACACACCAGATTGGGGAAGACTGTATTAAATAGCTGTCAGACAATTATGTATCAAAGGTAATCTTTTCCTTTCCAGACAACCTTAAGCCTAATGTTTGCTATTACATCAGCATATTTGCAATTTATCAGAACAGAGCAGGGAGAGCAGTTTCCACTACAGAAAATGTGTCAGCAAAAGGTAAGAGCCATAGAAACTCAGATTGAGAACCAACCTAATAAGCTGGTTCAGTTTTCTCAAAAAAAGTGTTGTGTTTTGCAGCCCCATTAACAGGACCTCACATTAATGCAACAGTAAAAGGAGAGAGCATTTTAGTCTCTTGGGAAGAAATTTCTGATAATCAACAAATGGGCTGCATTGTTAACTACAAGATTTATTTACAGAACCGGTTCTTCACCGTGCCTCCTAAAATCTATGGTAGGTACTTGCTAAAAGAATTAATGCACTAATCCCTGTGCTCCATGGCATGCAGAAAAATAGAGGGCACTTCTTTTAGAAAGAGGGCAGAGTGTAGTTCATAGAAATGCACCTCCCAAACCTTCGGGTGGATACAACAGTCTGGCATTGTTGGTCCACAAGTTGGTGAGATCTTTGTCAACCGCCAGAACATGGACTTGGCTGCCTGAACTAATTTCACAGAGTTCTTCTTCCAAGCCTCTTTTTTCTTTCGTATCAATAGCTGTTTGTAGGATTTTTTCTGTTCAAGGAGATCTTGAGCCATCTTCACATCAGAGCTGACTTTGATAAGTGTTCTGTAAGGCTTTCTTTGCTTGAACACATTCCCTATCAAACCAGAGCTTTGAGGCTGGTCTTGACCTACAAAGTACTGGGGGAGCATATTGCCATATCAAATGGACTCCAAGAATGGACATGGAATCACAGGATTTACTTGCATCAGGCAGCATGTAAAACATCAGAGCATTCCTAATGTCCAATACCCTAACAGCCAGCCTGGTGGAATTATATCAGGAGTTAGCCCAAGTATTGAAACAATCTTCCATGGCCCGCCCCAGGGACTGTATCGATGGAGTGTGGTTGGAATCCATTAAGTCGCAAGGCCCCCTGGACTCATGTTTCTTGTAGGACTACAATGTCCTTAGAAGAAAGATAGTCTTTGGATTCAGGGTCCTGAAGTATTTCGGCCCAGCCATTTATATTCCATGTAATAAGGTCAATTTTGTTCACGTGCCGGTAATCTGATTGTCACTGGGTCTCAGAGGTGTTACCTTCCAGCGCCTGGGGACCCCTTTTTTCCTTACTCAGCTCAGTTATTAGCTGTAGGGGCAGTCCAGCTGAGGGAGCAGGGGAGTCCAATTCTCTCCCAATGGGGGGGGGTCAACGGGGGGATATATTGGGCCTGATTTTATGTAGTGTCCAGGCATCACTTGAGGACTAGAGGCACTAAGTCAGAATAGCCAAGGGGCATGGCAGTCTGTTTCTGTAACATCATCTAGCTCAGTGCTAGGTTGAGTGCTGATTGATTTTGGTAGACCTTCTATGAGTTCCTCAGTAATTTTCTGAGGTCTCTGTATGAGATCCACTGCATGGGTCTCATACAGTGGCCTTATTGGAGTCAACTCCCTTGTCCCCATTGGTGCCTTCATCTCTGGTTCCACTTCCATTGTGGCAGCCATGGGGTTTTCCTTAATCAATAGGAAATGGAGTGGCCTATCATCCAGTCCAGCATTATCGGTTAGCTTCATGGCACAATCTGTGATGTTAGCAGAGGTATCCAAATTTAGATCCAGAGAGCTCATAAGGGCTAGGCTTGACTGAAGGGAAGAGTCAGGATCTGAGATGTCGCTGTCTCTCTCCAAGACCAGGTCTTCTTTGTGTAGTCTAGTTCTCATTGGCATTAATAGCTCATCTAGTTTGTTCCTTAGTTTTGCAATCCATCCTGCTTGGTTGGTTGGGCACCAGCCAGCTCACAGTGGCTGTTCATTGGCGGTTTATCTTTCATGTCAAGGCTAGCCTCCTCCACAGCTGTTTGAGTTATCACTGATGAAGTGGAAGGGACTCTAACTCCCATCTCTTTGAAGACTCTTTGAGGGATTATATCATACCTTCTCAGATTGAAAAAGTTATGGGGGCACGGTAGCTGACTGAAAGTCTAGGAATAATCTTTCGTGGTCCGTTTGTGATGGTAGAAAGTGGAAGTGTTTTAAATCCAGTGGGCGTATAACATGATTCAGTTACTCTGTCAGAGAGGTAAGGATTCTTTCCTTATTTGTCCAGTGTTGATCATCTTTCTTTGGGAAAGATATTAGGACCTGATTTGTTTGGAATACTCTCTGTACTCTCCCTTCAGTCTTATGTTGTGTAAATTGTGTTCGCTCACAGTTAAAGTGGGGGACATGGAGTGGTGGCATCTTCCTCCTTCTCACCTCTTTGTTCTGACTTGGGTACTGGGTGGGCATGCGTTTGGATTAAGGCTCCTAATTGCCTTTCAATTTTGTTTAAACACTCTAGAATCAAAATTAGAGTTTCTGCAGATGTAAAGCAGATTTCGCTAACTGCTGAGAGAGGCAATTTGTCTGTGAGGGGAGAGTGTACTCTGTCGTCGAACTGTTTACTTTTTGTCCTAAAGGTTTCTGCTTCCCTGCATTCTCTTTTTTAATTTTAATTTAAATGAGCTACTTTCTATCACTTGACAGGCTGAACTAGTGATGGGGACTGTGGCAAATCTGTCTCTTAGTGCTGCTCCCAATACTCACAGCATACGTAGCCCCATTGGAGGGGAGAAAGCTTTCGATTCTAAGCTGTTTTTTCTTCCTCTCCTTTTCCAGCTTTTCTTCTCTGGGACTTGTAGTGGTCTGTTTCTTTCTTATTCTCCCCCCTTTGGCTGTCGATATATCCTTGCTTTTACTAGTTGCAGCTTCAGTTTTTCAAAATAAGTGGGAGCTGTGTCTGAGCAATGCTACTTCATCACCATCTTCCCTTTTCCCTCCAGCTTTGTTGATTTGGGTTTTTTATTGTAATTTTGATGTTTTATTCTCACTGTAAATTTACTTTGCAAATAATTTCAACTGAAAAGCAGGCTATATATGTTACAGAAACAAGTACACTTAAACTGACATGCTCAGCCAGAGAAGATAATCAGATCCACAAGTACTTGTTGAGGTTGTACTCTATTGCTGAAACTATTTAGGTCATGGATTTGGTTGTGCAGGACTGAAAAATGGTACCTGTCTGCTTGTATTTCCTCCATCTAATAAGCAATTGTCATTCCTTCCCTTCTTTTCCTTAGATCTCTCTGCAAGAGACCCACAGCCATTTCCAGTAGAAAGTATACAGCCTGGTACTGCATATGCTATATGGATGACAGCTTCCACTATGGCTGGAGAGAGCCCTAAAGGGAATGAAGAAGTAGTTTACATAAAGAGTAATTATTTACATTACTTCTAAACAATGTGTGTGGAGAATAAAGAAAACTGCCTTAAGACACAACCTGATACATGTTTAGACAGGAGAGGATCCTTCAACTCCTGGTTATCATTGGACAGGGCATCCCAAATCTCATTGAACACATCTACTCCTTGCTTGGGCATATTCAGGATAAGCCATAGGAGGATGGAGTCTGGGGATGGTACCTCCAGTATATGCAGAAGGCAAAATACTTAATGAACCTGAACAGTCTCCTAAAGTAGTAAATGGTTTTTAACCATAGGTTTGAAGAAATTTCTAAACTCCTGCATTAAGAAAATTGCCATATTTATTAAAGACATGTCTTAACTATAAGACTTATTGCACTTTCAGACATACACAACTGGCATCCTGTTCTTGTCATTGTCATTATTGTGGGTCTTTCAGCCTGTGTCTGCTGTGTACCATCTGCTAGGCAAAAGTAAGTAAATATTTTAATCTTTTAAGATGATGGATTCTAGTGCATAATGGCAAGCAAATACCAAATTATGATGGTGCATGTTGGAATGTGCATATTGGAATGATTTATTGATTGTTTATTGATCTGTTTTAAAATGTTGCATTATGTTTGTATTGAGTGTAAACCATTTAGAGAGCCAATATTAATTTTAAGCATTTAAAATGATTGTAGGTGACCATTCAAGTAAAATTGCAAATTTTCTATTGGCTTCCCATTGAACTTTAAATAGAAAATGCTAGAGAAGAAAGTTGTGAATTTTGCAAGTCATCAACTGTCCAAGTTTGGTATTCTAATATATTCATAAGTATCTAAAAGGCTAAGCCAGTCAGTGTCTGTATCTTTGAGGAGCACATTGGAGATCAATCACATGCTACAACAAACTTCACTATGTTGTCACGCAATAGCCAATGGTGTTTTCTTGGAAGCTTATGTAAGAGAATTAAAGAGACATGTGCACAGTGCAATGTGTTCTTCCATTCCCTACTACATCGTTCTCCAAGAGTGCTAGGAGTCAAAGGAAGTCCTATCAGAGATTCAAAGGATTACAGATGTTTCTTTGAACAGAAGAAATAGCAGTTTGATGCTTTAAATGCAAAGAACCATGTTCTCTAGGCACAAGAGAATGGAGGTAGATCAGAATAAAAGCTAGCAGCCACAATATGGTGGTGGAGGAAGCAGCAATGGTAGCAGTAACCATGTACAGTCATTGATCTGTGCATGATTTTCACAAAACCATCATGGAAGCTGTGTGTCAGTAATTCACACAACCTTTCATCTGTTTGATAAATTTCAGAAAACACATATTTCCCCCTTATAAAATGCAGCATGACTAGTTTGCATGGCCATGAAACCAACATTACTGCTTCTGAATGTGTTCAACTTATGGAAAAGTAAGAATGCATGCAGTAGCTCACAGGTGTTGGTATCTTCCTGTTTTCCATACAGAGATGCAGCAATTGTCTGAGATATGATCATCAAGGGGGGACAGAACTGATGCAGAAACAATGAGAGAGGAGACAGCATGAAAGGTTGATTTGTTCAGCCTCTGCTTCTAAAGAAGATTCAAAACATATCGGACTAAATAGGTTTTAAGTCTTCAGCACCTTTGAAGTTTCCTCTCTCATTGTTTTTCCAAGCCAGAAAATCAAAGTAGTAGCAGAGGTGGTGGTGATAATCATAATATATATTTTTTAAACGTTCTGTTCTCTTAGGTAGCTTGACACATTTGGCCCTGTGGAGTCCACAGCAGTGTAGGAAAAATAGGCTTTATGAAGTTTCTGGCTAAATATATTGGCAATGGGTAGTGTTGTCATGGTGCCAGTGTGAACCAGTGCTAGTGCACCTTTATTAGCATTTACTATGTAAAGGGGAAAATCACTGCTTTTTCACTTTTAGCAAGTGTGAATAATGTTATGTGTAACACTGGTGCAATATGATTAATGCTAGTAATGGGACAACAAACTGGAAGCATGTTTCCCTGTGTAGCTATTCATCCTTCAGAAATGGACTCATAATCCAACTTCCAAGAATGTTAAACTTGGATGTTTAAAAAATATATTCTTCTGTACAATTTGTTTTGCTAGGATTTTCTCACTCCCCTTTCTTCTCCTGTTTGGGAGGTATGGTAAAGCTGTTCCAGATCCAGCCAATTCGTCATGGGCTAAAGAATTCACATCTGTAAAGGTAAGCCTACCTCCTTGGTATCTCTAAGAAGAATCTCTTTGCTGACATATTAATCTCCCTAATGAATCAACACCTGCCTTGTGTCCACAGAGGTATATTTGCAGAAGATAAGGAATGTGCATATTTAGAACTCCAGTTTGCTTTTAACTGCTTTTAACAGGAAGACATTGACCATCATTTTTTAATTTTTTTCCTTATTTTCATAAAAACAAGATACAAGACAGGCAGGCAGGCAGTATTACACAAATATAGCATACAATTTTGACATCTAAAGAATTCACAAAAAAGCAAAAAAAAAAAAATCTCTTTTGCCCAACATAGAAACAGAGCGAGTCAGAAGGGGTCTCTCGGGCCATCTAGTCTGCTCCAGCCGGCTCTGCTCACGACACGCCCACCATGTGCATGTTCAGCCTATCCTTGAACACCCTCACCGATGGGGCCTCAACCACCTCCCATGGAGGTCCTCGAGGTCCTGTCAGGAAGTACTTCCTGGCATCCAAATTGAACCTTGGTTCCCTGAGCTTCACTCCGTTGGAGTGTGTCCTGCCCTCCTCTGCAGGGGAGAACAGGTCTCTACCCAACACTGAGTCAATCAGTTCTTAAGATTAGTAAACAAATTGTTCTAGTTTATATTCTTTAAACTAACTGTCCAGTCTTTTCAAATAGCGTCATGGCTTCAGTATTAAGATGAAGCTCACTAATAATATTTTTACAAGTTCTGTAATAGATATACATTTAGAAATATGACTGAGAATTGTGTTATTGTTGTTGATTGAAAAACAAGGCATAAATGAAGTTAAGAAAGAATTGATTTTAAATTTGATAATGGCAGCCAGGTTAGTGATAGTTAAATATTGGAAACAGAATTAGGTTGTGCAAAGGCATGAATGGTATAATGAAATATGGAATGTGGTAATTAATGATAAACTGACAACAGAAATAATAAAATTAAAAGGGTTAATAAAAGCAAATAAATATAATGAAATTTGGGAAGATTTTGTAAAAGCAGTATTGATAGAAGGTAAAGGTTGTAAACCTAATCTAGTATATGAATTTTTAGAGGGGATATGGATATAATTGGTCTCCTGGGTTGCGGGCACAGTGTTATTTACTTTTTTATTCATTAATTAGTTGGGCTTTTGTGGTTTTTATTATTGATATTGTGATGTTTGTATTTATGTTTTTTTTCTGTATTTTTTAAAAAATTAAAATGTGGAGGGAAGAAAAAATAGAAACTTTTCATTTCTTTTATTGTCATTTTCTTTTATTGACATTCACTGGTCTAGTGCTCTCACCTTTTCCTGTAACAGGGCTACTAGTGTGCAGCTGTCTGCAGTTGTTGCAGGCCACCACTGTGTTCCATTATAATTGTTATCCATTTTCTGTATGTCTTTTGGGATACTTTACCACTGAAAAATCATCTTACATTATTTTTCTCTTACTGCTTGACTGGCTGAAAATTTTATATTCTTTGTCTATAAGACATCCTATTGGCAAGATGCTATTGGCAGGATCGTCTTCACATTTTTGCAACCAACTTATACATGTTTTAACTTGTTTAGTTTCAGTAACATATTGAAACAATTGTTTATAGATTTGTCCTAATAGGTGGCATTTTTGATGTTTAATCATCAAAATCATCATTTTAAAATCCATCAGACCTTTCACTGTACCTTTTTCTGTTTGGATTTCCTGAAACCAGTTGGTAATAAAGAATTTTCCTTCTTTTTAGTTCTTGTCAAAGCTTGATTCATCCTTGTTGAGCAACCATATTTTCCTACATATTTTCATAATATTATTATTTAGTACAACTTACTTTCATATGAATCTTAGAACCTGCTGAATGTTAGAACAATCACCCTGTAATGGCACAAGAGCATTTAGAAATATCAACTGTTGCGGAATGGTCATAAAATACACACTGCTATAGAAAATCATTTCTTTTTTAGGGAAATGTAGACACTTACTCATGAGCTATTGTTATACTGATGTTATACTGATTTTTCTTCCTCATCTCTTAATGCAGGATGAGCCAAGCTTATATTCCTCACAATTCTTTACGAACCAAAGCAGCTTTGAAGAGCCCCAAACTTTACAAATAGAGGAAGTTTTCATAAAAAGACAATATCCAGCTTTTGGGGATGCCCCCATCTTGAAAACCACAGAGCAAGGAGAAATGAACACCTGCCTAACAACTTGCAGTTTGCTGGCAGGAAATCCCACTGTAAAATGCTTGGATTATGAGCCTCTGATCACCAGCACACCAGCTGACACAGACAAGCAGCAGTTCCTGCCTTTGTACAGAAAAATTGCAGCTGAAGAATCGCATCAGGGACAAGCATGTTCTGAATACCTAGCTAATCCACAAGTGGATGCAGCAATAGATTACTTGCCAACCATTATACCTACTCTTATGGATAGTGATGAAAATAGCACTGAATCTGAACTCAGTTCATTGTCTGTTTTTCCAAGAACTTCTTTTCTACCACAAACATTTTCTTTTGGTGGAAAACTTACTCTAGATGCTGTAAGAATGGACTGTAATTCTTTCACAGACTAAGGCTGCAATCCTACACCAACATTTCCAGGTTGCACTGATGGAAGCATATACAATTATGCTGAAAGCTATTAAACCCTCTTGATGAAACTCCTAATATGAGGATGGCAAAAAGGTTAAACTTCAGGTCCATAGACAAAAACAAGTTGAAACACAGAGGAGAAGAATGATGGAAATACTTGTGTACATTGGAACATCCTGGATTTCTCCCCCAGCACCTACACAAGTCCACAGGTCTCCAGTGCATTGCAAACATCGCTTGTTCACAGTCCAGTGAATGCAATCTGTTTCCTTGGATCAAAGAGATTGGCAAATTCCGGAAACAAGGATGAGTGTAAGACTCATCCTCTTACAGACACACTTCATTGACTCTGTGAACTTGTCTTAAGGGTTTAATGAGACCGTAGTCCTCCTTCATTCACAATGTTTTAAATTTTAAACAGTCTGTTTCCACACACAACCTTTCCATGTTTTCTCATCAATTTTTTTATCTTACCTTGGAAAATCTGTTAAAGAAAAAAGCCTTCTGATTGATAGAGTTCTGTCAGGAAGTACCCTGAACTAGAACTGCAGATGACACATTTAAATCAACCTCATTAATGACACATTTTACAACCGTCTTTATTGCTTGGTTTGGATGAAGGCAAAGTGAGGCCCCACTTTGTAATTTTATTTTTATTGAGTGTTTTAAAACAAAGCCTAAACAGCAAAAAGAGGGTGAGGATTTAAAGAGGATTTAAAAAGTCAAATAAAATGTTATAATTTTCATAAAAATTGTATGAAAATTTAAATTTAACATAAAATTTAATATAAAATAGATCCTTGATAGCACTATATACATATATATTCCCTATCCCTGTATATTTTCTATGTAGCAAGGTATTGGTATAGGTGATCATGCATAAACTACAACAAAGGCAACTGAAATACCAATATATGTGTCATTCATAAATTACCTAAAGATCTCCCATCAAAAATTAAAAAACCATTATGTCCTCCATCATTTCTGTTAGTGCAGGTGTCAGATTATCTTTCTGATGTTGCAGTATTCATTTTCGAGTTGTCAAAAGAAAATCATTTGCACAGAAAATCCACTGCATTTATCTTGCATTAAATTCCAAGAGACAGGTAAATTATTAAAGACATGTGTATCACTGAATCTTAAAGTACTTTCTGTCACAAAATGTAGCTGTATTATTACTGCCTCCCAAAAGGTGGCAGCCACTGGGCAGCCCCAAATATATGAATAATAGAAACATTAGCTTCATTGCAACTCTAAAAATTTAAATATTCATGGAACATGGTCGGAGAGGTAACACTGGGTCCATACACATTGACGAGAGCCAGTGCTTTCTTCTTATATTTTCCAACCAGAATCAAAAACTGACCATCAGGTTTAACAATAGGTGGTTGTACTGAAAATAAAAGCTATTTATGGATTACAGACACTATCCCCTTAAACCTGGCTGACATAGATGTTATACTGTCCCACCAAGTCTCTAGTCAGCTGACGTATGCCTGCCACCAACAAGTGTGCTTCCTATAAGAAAGCCCCATCAGTGCCATATTCCTTAAGTTAGGTAAGGACTTTCTTTGCTTTATTTGGATTCTGCAGCCCTTTGACGTTCCAGTAAGTCATTTTAAACATGGAGTAATAGTGTAAAAATATTATTTACCCTTGCACACATACCAATCTTTTCCTTTCTACAAAAGTTATCCAATTCAGAATAATTCCAAGTCCTGGATATAGTACATTTCATACCACCTCCACAGTACCCTGTACCACTACAGTAAAAAAATATTCCCACAACTGAAAAAAATTAAACCCATCCAAAGAGAAAAATAATTTCTAAAACAGTAAAGAAAATTAATTATTTTGGGATCACAGCCTACTTCTAGTCAATTATCAGCTACATCACTGAACGGTATGACCAACAATACAATGAATTAATATTGACTAAAGAAACAGGAAAAGAGAGGGGAGGAAACAAGTCCAAACATACAAATGGAGCAAAGAAGAGAGTGGCTAAATGCCCTGAACTTATATACTCAAATTATGTAAATTATGGCCAAATGATCAGAACTTTCTGATTAATCTCTGTGGAGAGTGAAATTAAACTGAAGCTGCAACAGAAGCTGGCTGATCAGACAAGATAGGTTTGTGAGCAGGACAGGTGACCCAAACTCCCATTAGGAAAGATTCTGCAGCTTCAGGAAATCTGAACTTTAATTTCTCTTAGAATTCAATATTCTGATCTGATTTTTTTTTTAAACTAAATATTTCAAGCCATTCTTCTACCCTTGCCAAATTTATGCCTTTGTTCAGATACTTAATTGTAAAATCTGGATAAAGTATGTTTTTATAATCATCTGGAGCAAAGTGGAGTTCTCCCATCTGCCTGGTTGCAGAGAGGAGGTATTCTTTAGTTGAGACATTCAGAAACTTAAAAACAACAGGTCTCATCCTCACTCCTTGTGAAGGATGAGGAATATGATAAGCTGATTCAAAGACAAGATGAAAACCTTGTAATTTCAAAACTTGATGCAGAACCTAATCTATATGATCTGTTACCTTTTCTCTAGAAACTGCTTTTGCGGACCCAACACTTTCAAATTAGATCTCCATGAGGAGGTTTCCAAAGTGAAATAGGAATGGAGATTGTATTCTTCCTCCTCTGTCCCTCCCTTAGAGATCTTAGCAGGTGGCCGACTAGATAGGGTTGGTAGGAGTCCAACATCTTTCTTAGGTTGAGAAGCAGCTCTGATCAAGCACTCCTGAAACTCTCTTAATATGCCAGACTATACAAATCCTCACAGGTTTCAAGCAGTTGTGAAAGTAAAGAAATACTTAGCACTACTAGCAGTCTAGTGAAATCTAAACAAAAACAAAAATGGCAAGGGGGTAATAAAGTGGTCTTAATAGTGTTAAAAATTGAAAATTAGAAAGTAGGGCATAGTAGGCTATTTATGTTGCCATCTTCGCTGGAAGTCCTTCATAGGGCTATTGAGAGGTTTGGGTATGAAGGTAGGATATTAATGTGATAAAAGGCATGGATTTCCTGAGAAACCTTGTTCTTTTAATCCAGGTAGTAAGATCTAGTTTTCTAGCTGCACATGGAAAATAAGAGGAAAATATTCACTCACCATTTTCCTGCAGTATTTTAGGATTTCACTTCCCCATCACATAACAGCCAAAAGCAGTTCTAAAAAATATGATTGATTGAAGGACACTGTTTTTGGTGTATTTTTTATATGAATAGTAAGAAATAATCAATATTGCCTGAAATAACGGCCAACCTATGTGGACCTGAAATTAGTTGCATCAATTAAAAGGAAGAAAAAGTCTAGAATTCTGGTATGTTGTATTTTGCAATTCTGTGCTTGCATATTCAAGGAATGCTGCATATGTTTTCAGCTTAGAACAGGAGCACACATATACACAGAAAGGGAATTCTTAAAGGACAAAAAGGCTATTTATCTTGAGTGCAGTCTATCTCCATTTAGCATTCTTTAAAGTTTTATGTTTAAAGGAACTCCAATGGCAATGACTGCAGATGTGATGCACTGCAGCTTCTAAGTAGTTATACTGAAAAGCTACTTGCCGGAAATCTCAGTAGAGTGATAGTCAATGCATCTCTGCATTCTCCTACAATGGTGCTGGAAACCTGAAACTTAATCCCTGATGCTCCATCTGCAGCTGTTCCTTCATAAGATGGGTCTGGCCATGATGATACATTCCATGTTATATTTCATCCAGACTAATCACTGCACACTATAAGGAATTGTCTTTGAGGAGTGTTCAGAAACTTTAGATGGCTCAGGATGCCACAGTCAGTTTGATAATCAAGGGTAATTTTAAATTGTGATGATACCAAATTTCCTAAAAAGTCATCTTTTTTGGTTGAAACCGTTATACGTATTACCCTCATATAACGGGTATTACCTCCTTATACCCTATAAGCAAGCTTGGATCACTGTCTTCCAAATTCATTATTAACTTGGAAATACCCTGTGAGCTTCAGTGCCTCTGCATTCTGCCTCTAAAGTCTGGCATCTTTGTATATGTAGAAAGTTGGTTTAAATCCTTTTCTTTCCAGAGGAAATACGTCCCTCAGTTCCAACATAATCTCTCTGGCATGTACTGATTGATGACAGTAAATATTTCATAGTAACTGGCCAGGAAGGGATACGTACCACAGTGATGCATCACACAATTGCAAACTATGTCCTGCAAGATACAGTTTGATATTGTCCATTAGCAAAATAATAATAATAATAATATACATAGAATAAGAATTTAAAGAACTCTTGTCTGAGGTCACCAGAATTCTTTGCTCTCTGAAAAGTAAACAATTAATTTGGAGATAAATTCACCCATCAATAGGGAGCATTTGAGTGTCAAGACAGTATGCTTGGTTACCTGTAACCGTCCTCCTTTTTCAAAAAGGGTAGTAGAAGGGACATGGGGAATTATAGACCTGTTAGCCTTACGTCCATTGTAGGAAAAACAATGGAAAGGCTCATAACAGAAAGATCTAGTGATGCTACATAGGGAAGGGAGGCTGACAGCCACACAACACGGCTTCCGCAAAAACAGGTCCTGCCAGACGAACCTTGTGGAATTCTATGACAAGGTTTCAAGATGGCTAGATGGAGGGGATGCAGTGGATGTGGTATACCTGGATTTCAGCAAGGCCTTTGACAAAGTGCCCCATGATATCCTGGTGGAGAAACTGAGGAGTTCTGGGATACACCAAAGCACTGTCCGGTGGATTAGGGCATGGTTGACTGACCGAAAGCAGAAGGTAACCATTAGTGGGGAATCATCAGGA